CTTCCAGAGGGTGGTTCTGGGTCTCAGCTAGGCAAAAGGAGTTCACAAATGAAGAGGGTTCGTGGACCCAGGTCTGAACCTAGGCTTGTGGGATTGCAAGTGGTGGAGGTTGGAGGACTATCAGGGAAGGGCAGAAGCTACTTACACAGGAAAAGTGGTTTGCATACAGAGCTATGGACCATTATTAATGTCAGACAGTGTTTTACTATTCCTGAGTTATGTAATTTATCTGACTCAGCTTTTTTCTTTTTGTAGTTTAAGGTTTTATTGAAAATGAATATTGCTTAGATTACATACAATGTGAAAAATCAACTTAAAAGTGAGAAAATATTTACTTTGGATCCAGGTTTCATTGCATTGCACAGTACTGATTCAGCTTTTTATTGATAGACATTTAGGTTGTTTTTAGTTGTTTGGATCCAGGTTTTGTGGGACCTGAAGCTTATAAAATCAGAAAAATATCATTAGCACCATATTATAGTCAGCTTTGGTTATTGCGTTTATGAATAGGACCTCAGTAAACATGTTTGTATTGTTGCCTTTATGTACTTCTTTGTTTACATAATTATTATACATAATAATTTCTGATAGGTAGAATTCCTTAAGACAGACAGAGTAGTTAAGAGGAGGGATTCAGTATTTATGCTGCTTGGGCACTAATACCAGCCTTTGTATCTATCAGCGATATGACTATTGCCAAAATCCTCATGTTTTTCTATGCCCTAGTTTCCCAGGTATAAATGAAGGTAATAACACTTTATTGTGAGGATCATATGAATTTAAGTGCATATTAAAAACAGTCAAATGCTAATTGTGTCTCCCTGTGTTGTTTTCAGATACTAACTGGTTTATTTTATAATACTGCATCATTTAAAAACACAGAGTAAACCCTTTAAATTGTTCCTGTTGTGTTTGCACATAAAGCCTATATAATGGCATTATGACGAAGGAGCTCTTCCATTTGCTATCTTATTGCTGTGTAAACTGTATATATTTCTCCTTCTCTCCTTCACTTAATTCATTTACTCTGGGTTTTTCTTAAGAGGACTAGTGGAAAGGAAAGGCTTTCTTCAAATAATTTAATAATTTCATTCTTTTCAGTCATTGTCTTTCTTGCTTTGAAATCTGTGTAGTAAAAGTTTGGGTTCCTGAGGTCATTTATTTCTTGTTACTTCCCTAGTGTTTCAGAGAGTTGCTGGGCAAGAACTGTCTTCAGTAAAGAGCTGCTTAGCTGAGTGATTGAGAAGAGGAGGAATTAGAGAACAGAAGAGATAGGAAAGGGCTGTAGAGGAGAAAGCCAACAGCACGAGAGAGGGGACTGGCAGAGCTCTCCATCTGCTTTGGTTCCTTCTCCTTCCCGCTGTTTGCTTTTCTCCTCCAAGGCCTTTTCCTGCTGGCCCATTCTGTTTGTTTTACTTCTTTGTTTTCTTTTCATTATCTGAATATAGTGATACATTTTCAAGCCTGAGTAGTTTTTCACTACTTGATTCAGTCTACAGATGAAGATTTGAACTGAGATTTTTATTTGATTCATTGAGATTTCAATTTTCAGCATTACTGTTTGGTTCTGCTTCAGAATCTCATTATCGATTGCTCTTTACTATTCTGATGTTGCGTGGCCAGCTTATTTGTTATTTTGAATTAAGACTCCGTGGTTCTGATTAGATGGGAATGAAGAATTAGTTGCGATTAATTACATACCAGAGCTACTAAAGCAAAATTTTGCTTTGCTGGGATACTTGATGCTGGTCAGCTAGAGCTGAGAAATTAGCAGTGTTTAAGAAGAGACCAGCATCACTGAAGTAAAATCTTCTGGGAAGTGATTCCTGAGAGCATAGAGAAGCTGTGTTCCAGAGGCAACCAAGGTTGTACCTCATGCTGGCAGCAGGACTCGGTGATGTGTAGGAGTCACCGAGGTGGTACTAGTTTTGGAGGGATGAAGGGGTCATGGAGAGCAGCTGAGGCTGTGCACTGTGAGAGACCAGGAGAGGCCATTGGTGAAGGTGCAGCCTCAGTGGCAGGTGAAGGCCCAGGACTAAAGAGGTCAGCAAAAAAGTTGAGACTTGGCACCATGAAGAGAACCTATGAGAAGTTATTGGTGAAAGTGCTATGCATTTGCAGCAAGGGACCCCCACATTTTGGAGATGCCAGAACCATCAGGAACAGCAGCAGCAGTGGAGTGGAGGCAGCTGATGCCTTGAAGACAAGCCGTATATGCTGCAGAGGGTGGAGCTGGAGAAGTGGCTCAGGCCCTTTGCGGGAGTCTAGAGATTTGAGAGTGGAGCCCAGATAGTTGGATATTGAGTTATTTATACTCTTGGGGTTTAGTTTTGCTTGGCTAAGATTGTGACAATGCCATGGTTCTTCTGTCTTAAAGAAGATATTTAATTTTGATTTTAAAGGAGTCCATAGATAAAAGATTTGGACTTTTAAAAGAGATTGGATATTTTAAAAAGATTGAAAATTTAAGGACTTAAATTTTAAGACTGGAGGACTTTTAAAATTATTTATGATTTTAATGTGAGATCTTGGGGATGAGTAAGAAAGGAAAGGATGTGGCTTACTAGTGATGTGTTTGTGTCAAGTTGACAAGGGATCGGTTGTACTGGCTGGTTTTGTGTGCCAGTTTGACACAAGTTAGAGTCATCAGAGGAAGGAGCCTCAGCTGAGGAAATGCCTCCTTGAGACCCAGCAGCAAGGCATTTTGTCAATCAGCTATCATTGAGGGAGAGCACAGCCCATGGTGGGTGGTGCCGTCCCTGGGCTGCTGGTGCTGGGTTCTAAAAGAAGGTGGGCTGAGCAAATTATGACAAGCAAGTCAGTAAGCAGCTCCTCTCCATGGCCTCTGGATCAGATCCTGCTTTTGGGATCCTGCCCTGACTTCCTTCAGTGATGAATAGCAATGTTGAAACATAAGCTAAATAAACCCTTTCCTCCCCAGCTTGCTTTTTGGTCATTCATGTTTTTTTATTGTTGTTGTTGTTTTGTTTGTTTGTTTGTTTTTCCCAGCGATGGAAACCCTAAGACATGTGGTATAGATTCTTGAGGTCAAATCAGGTCCCTAAGTGTCTTTACCTTCTGACCATCTTGCTGGTCCATTCTGTTTATTTCACTTTGTTGTTTTCTTTTTTATTATCTGAATATAGTGACATTTTTTCAGGCCTAAGTAGTCTTTCACTATTTGACCAGTCTAATAGATGAAGATTTGAGTGTTTTTTTTTTTTTTAAATTTGATTGAGCCTTTAATTTTCAGTATAACTGTTTGGTTCTTTTTCAGACTCTCATTATTGAATTGTTCTTTTTTTGTTCTATATTACGTTCCTTAACTTAGTCAACTGTTTATTTGTATCCTCTTTAAATTCATCGATCATTTTAAAAATCAGTCTTGGTCTAGCATATCATTCATTTAGACATTTTTGGAGTAATTTGCTAGGAAATCAGGGACTTTTGGAGAACAATCCCTGGCTGTTTTTCATGTTTCTTGAGCTACTGTGTTTCAATTTATACATCTGTAGGGATATATAAATGTAAAGAATGTCTCTCTTACACTTTTTAATGTTATTATTAGCATACATTATAATATTGCAGTTTGGCTATGATATTTCATGTATGTATGATGCTATAAAGAATGGTCTACAGATGGGGCACTCTGGCTCATTCCCCCTAGTTAGCAGGGTGTGCGTCAGTGAATGGGAACGGTCCATATGAAATCCTCCGTAGGTGCCATTCCTCCTGTCATTTGTCACTCTGCTGTTGCTAAGTGCTGAATGTCTGGGCACAGGACTCTAGGCTCCCTCCAGTTGTGATTTCTTGGAGCTGGATTATCAGCTGGGGGTTGCGGTATCCTTTATCTGTAATATCTGGAAAGGTTTGCCTGTGATTAGGTCGTGGGTAGAGAATAAAGGACAGTTTCTCTCAACTGGGATGGTGTGTATGTAGCTAGCAGCAAAACCCCTCCCCAGAGTCTTTGAAGTGCTGGCCTCAATCCCCAGTGGTGTCGAAGAAGGAGAAAAGAAAGGCACAGTGACTATATAGGTTCAAATCAGATATAGAAATACTGTGAACCAGTTAAAAACAACAGCTACATTACTGATGAGAATAGAAAAGAAGGGCAAAAATAATATAGATTCTGAAATGTTAAAAATTAATAAAATAAAGCAAGGGAAGAAATGGATGAATGATTTGTGAGAGAAGATATGTCAAAGAGAGGGAAAGACAATGAAAAATAAATGCAATTCTATAAAAAGCAAGAAAAATATTGAACAACATGAAAGTGTTTGAAAGTCCTGTTGTCAAGGTTCTTGGACTGGAGAAGCGTCTGGACTATCTAATGACTGGAAACTAGTGGGTGGCATGGCAGGCCTGCTGTAGGAGTTCTGCTGGGCATTCCGAGGACATGCTGTTTTAGCAGGGTTGTCTGTGTTCACTCACTCCATAAGCTTACCGTATTTGTACCACACCCCCATTATTTTGAGATGTTCATGGACTAGTCACTCCAGAGACTCCCTAATTTGTGAACCAGAGGGCATGGTAATGTCCAAAATATAGCACAATGCCTGAAGGATTGGGGGAGGAAGTGCTGGCTGGGCTCATGTAGGGAACGGGGAGAGCATAGGAATGTGGCAGCCTTCCTTTCCTTCCTCAGATGTGGCCAAGCTGACACGAGAAGTTGCTGTCGTTCTTTGAGAGCAGGACACCCTGACTACTGTTCCCGCTGTGGTTCTTATGCTGTTGTTTAAACCTTTTCTTAGGGTTATAACAGAATCGCCCCCATTCTACAGCTGTTACTCATGGCATCCCCCACTTTGTCCCCGCCACATGGCAGAGTAGCCCCAGGGTCTCTGACTTGTGAGTGTCTTAAGTGTTGTGATACCCTGAGTAGTTTGGTTCCTAAGGATAGGCGCCTTCTCTAGACAGCACCTCATGGCCACACTGAGAGATGGGCATATGCAGGTGAGCGTATTTGGTGTGTTATTGATAATGGTGACTCCTCCTTCCAGGTTGAAGACTTTAGCAGAAGAGCTCACGCAGACACAGCAGATGCTTTTACACAAGGAGGAGGCTGTCCTGGAGCTGGAGAAGAGGATTGAAGAATCTTCTGAGACCTGTGAAAAGAAGTCTGAGTGAGTATCAGAGATACCGTCTGAAAGAGTAGAGGCGAAAGCATGTATTTTTACAAAAATACTTGCTACATGCTGGTGTGGATATGGCATTTCCAGAAATGGAAGTTTTCATTTTAAAACAGTGGAATTTTGTGTAGTTATATCATATGACTTTGGAGAACTGTTTTTGTATTTTTGTAAAATGTGATATTTAACAGCTAGTTTGATGTGAACTTGATACAAACTAGAGTCATCTGAGAAGAGGCAGCCTCAGCTGCAATTGATCTGTGGGCAAGCCTGTGGTGCATTTTCTTGATTAGTGATTGATGTGCAATGGCCTATCTCTCTGTGGACAGTGCCAACCCGGGCTACTGGGCCAGGGTACGATAAGAAAACAAACTGAGGAAGTCATGCAGAACAAGCCTATAAGTAGTGTTTCTCCATGGCCTCTGCTTCAGCTTCTGCTTGAGTTCCTTTTCTGACTTTCCTCAGTGATGGACTGTTACCTGGAAATGTCAGCAGAATAAACCCTTTCTTCTCCAAGATTTAGGTCATGGTGTTTCATCACAGCATTAGAAATCCTAACTAAGGCAGATGTGTTCTAGAAAAGTGGTATTGGATTTGTAAATAAAATGCCACGATCAGATGTCTTAATGTTTTAACAGTTTGCATTACCTCATGAAGAATCCTTCGTTAAAAGCTATCTTTGTTGCTCAATATTTATTTTTTGTGAGACTTATTGTAAATCCCTTTTTTAAAATATTTATTTATTTATTATGTATACAATATTCTGTCTGTGTATGCCTGCAGACCAGAAGAGGGCACCAGACCTCATTTCAGATGTTTGTGAGCCACCATGTGGTTGCTGGGAATTGAACTCAGGACCTTTGGAAGAGCAGGCAATGCTCTTAACCTCTGAGCCATCTCTCCAGCCCCCTGTAAATCCCTTTTTAAAAGGATTCTGAGAAGTGTTATCTAGAAATTGACTGCTGTTGTGTTAAAAGGCATCAGATAAATTAATTAGAGCACACCGATCTACTTTGCATATAGAAATCAGCTTCAGTTTACTTTGTTATTCTTGCTTTCCTGGTATTTGTCAACTGAATTCTGACTTGAAATATCATTCTGGGTCTTTTGATTTTACTTGTATTGATACATTTCTGTCTTTTAGTAGATGTGTGTACTACACTATGCATGCAGGTCCAAGAACGTGTGTTAGATATGTGTACTCTCTTATGTGTGAAGGTACAAGAATGTGTGTACTTGCTTATGTGTGCAGGTACAAGAACATGTATGGAGACCATAATTCGATGTCAAGTGTCTGCTTCAATTGCTCTCCACCTTATTTTTAAAGGCAGGGTCTCATTAGGTTGGAACTTGATGATTCGACTAGATTGGCTGGCTAACAACCCCCAGGGATTCTCTTGGGTTCCTATCAGTGGGGTTATAGGTGCTTGTATTCTTGGCTTTTGAGGCTTTTAATTTTTAATTTATTCTTTAGTACTTGTATGCATGAATGCTATTTATTTAGATTATATCCACACTTATTGCTTCCTCTTTGACTCTTCCCACACCACCTTATCCACCCAACTTCCTGTTTTGTTGTTCTTTTTCTACTCCCCTTCTCTCCCTCACATCCACTCACTCAGTGCTGTGGGCATGCACATGGGTGTAGGGCGCCACCCAGTGGAACATGGACAGCCTATCACACTGATGCAGAAGACTGCCTCTTCCTTTCTCTGCAGTTGCCCATAGCTCCTTACCTGGGGGTGAGGCCTTCCTTCTACGAGCTGGAATATTGACGGGCTCGACCTTGTGCAGGTCTCGTGCTGTCAGCCATGGCTGCAGTGATGTCATGAGTGTCCAAAGACATAACTTTGCAGGCGTCTTTCCTGACTTTTCACGCCCTCTTCTACAGTATTCTCTGAGTCTTGTGGAGAAAAGTGTGTGACCTAGATGTCCATTGAAGACTGAGCATGGTCACATAATTCTGCATACTTTGGCTGGTTCATCTCTCTATATTAGCCATCCACTGCATAATGAAGCTTCTCTGGTGAAGGGTGAGAGTTATACTCATCTGTGAGTATAAGGATACAGATTTAGGGGTCATTTTAATTCTATGCCTGTTGCAGACTAATAGTAGTCATGCCTGTAACCTCATCAGCCACAGGTTCTTGCTCGTGATCATAGTTCCAGGGATGAGTTTCCTTCTGTAGGACAGGCCTTAATTAAGTATGATTAAAAGTTGTTGATTACCCCCATAGCATTCCTGCCACTGTTGCCCACATGGTTATCTTCTCATTCCTGTAGTTTGCACGGTTCGGGGCTGTGTCAGACTGTTGATAGGTTTTCTTCTCTGATAGCCCACCATGTATGATATTGCACTGTGAAACCTAGCCAGCAGAAAGGAAGCTTTTAGGTCAGTACCAGCCTGATTTCTTCATGTTCTGTGATCAGGGTAAGTGTTGTCTTTAGCAACAGGGTCATATTATCAAGTTTCAGTGGGGTCACCAAGAGCAATAGCAATAACCTGTTTCTGTGGGTGCTGGGGATTGAACTCAGGCACTCATGCTTCTGTGTAAGAACTTTACTAATTGAGCCATCTTCCTAAGCCCGTTGTCTTTTATTCTCTCTCTCTCTCTCTCTCTCTCTCTCTCTCTCTCTCTCTCTCTCTCTCTCTCTGTGTGTGTGTGTGTGTGTCTGTGTGTATGTGTATACAAGCATATATGTGGTATGCATGTGGAACCAAAGTTTAATGTTGATTATCCTGAATATTTCCATTTCATTTGTGGGTTTTTTGTTTTTTGAGTCAGGCTCTTTCACTGAACCACCCTGAGCCCATTCATTTGGGTATGCTGGCTGACCGTTGTGCTCCGGGAAACCTCCTGGCTCCCTGCGTCCTACCTAGCACTGAGGCTACAGAGGCACAGAAAGACAGGTGGAGCGCATGCTCTGATGATCACACGGAGGGCACTGTGACAGCGGCACCCTCCGTAGCTTGTGCACTATCCTTTTTACTGATCGTCAGCTGTGACGATGGGAAACCACACCATGGTTGTCTGCATGGTCTTCCCAGTTCTGACTGCAACATAAACTTACCGCCCTCAAACTTTCACTGCTGCTTTCAGATTTCAGAGCTCTCAGGGGTTTGTGATGTGTTAGGTCTCTTACCTACACTAGCTTTTATTTTTTGTATAACTTCTCAGATATTCTCTACTTCGATTAAATTTTCGATCTTCCCACTTCCTTTACTATAGTCGGCAGATGGGCTTCTGTGTCACAGAAAACCCTCACGCACTAACTAGATACCTGAAATCCACATCTTTCCCCTTAGCACCCATCCTAATGCCCATCTTTTTACAGTACAATGTACTCTTCTGTGTCATTTCTTGTGAGATTTTTAAAGCATTGCCATCTTTTATTTTCTCAGAAAATTTGTGTTATTTTATATATTTACCTTTTCCTTCCAGCTGGGTCCTTACACTCACCCCAGAACCACTAGTCTTCAAGTCTCCTCCCCCAGCCCCTCTCCACCCCCCATCTCTGAGGTGCTGGGTGCAGTACTCAGCTGACATCTGCCAGGCAATGCTGTGCTGTCACTCAGTTGTACCCCAACTGCTGAAGCCCTCCCCCCTTGTCATTATTTTCCCCATTTTATCCTCTGCTTTCTCGTTTCTGAGTTTGAACTCATTCTAGGAGCAGTTCCCATCCATTTTCCCAATTACCACTTAGTTTTCTAGCCTTTGTCCCATTACTGCAGAAATAAGAATCTCAGCGATTACCCATGCCTGGAGTAGGGCAGATGTCTTTCTGGACCACTGAATCACGTCTGACTTGGCTGCTGTCTTTCCTGTGCTTTTTGAAGTCTAAGATGTCAAGAGTACCCGTTTGTGTCTCTCGGGCCAGCTCACTCTCTGCTGCTCAGATAGCACAGATTGGGGTTTCAGAAGGCATGTTGCTAGGCTGTGTGCCTCTTCTCTAGTAGCCTGAAGATGGCTTATGTTTATTATTATCACTTATAATTGGCGTACTTGGTATGCCTGTTTGAATGTCCTAGAAGCGCTCATGTCTCCCCCTCTCAAAGCTGAATTAGTGATAGTGCCCCAGTGCAGCTCCAGTTTCCTGGTTGGCCCAGAAGTCTTCATTTAGTGAGTGCTAACACCGGTCATCTTGTTCTACCGCAGAAAACAGACATTTTGATGCCACGTTTGTTTCTATAAATACTATACAAAAGTTGCTTCTAAATATTTAAGCATTTCCCCACTAGTTAAGAAGCATTGGATAGTTTTCTTACCTCTAGATCTATACAAGGGCCATTTCCCTGCTCTCCGATCACCAAATTGCTTTTTCTGTACAAAAATACTCACCTAGAAGGAAGTACAAGCTTTCTACGAAATCTTTCCTCATAACAGTTTTGCCCAAGTTTGGGTGGGACTGGCTGTTCTGTTTTGCAGTCTTTATTCACCGTGGACCATGAGAGTTTTCTTTTCTTTGGCCCGGATCAGGTTTTTCTGCATTGTTTCTTCTTTCCTCCTTGGCACCCCTATTTTGTTTTTCTCTTTGAAAATCTCACCAACTCCAGTCCGCCATACTGGCGCTTCGTCACACGTGCGTGAGGGCGTGTGCCGTTAATGGCCCCGCAGCATTGGCTGCTGTAGAGCCAGGGCGTTCAGCCGAGGCTTCGGCCTCTAGCAGCTCAGCCCAGGGGCCGTACATGGTACATGCCAGTCCTGTACCGAGGCCGGTCTAGGCAGGGCACCCTGGAACACAGGTACCCACAGGTAGGGGTGGAGCTGGCCTCGGATTTCACCCAACTTCCGCAGAGGCCCCGCAGGCTAATAGAACTTTTAGGAGTTAGAAGGGTTAGCCTGACCGGGCTTTCAGGGCTGAGTCGTAGTGAGCCCAGTCATGTAGCCTTCATTATCCTGAGTTCTTACTGTTAGCTTCAGAGTACAGTATTAAAATTTGAAGTCTATTTAGGTGCCCAAACAGTTACTGCTGACTGTCCTTGACTGAGAAATTGGTGGACTGAACCTTGCCTCCATATTTAAAATATTTTATTAAACAAATGTTCTGAATAGGACTGTATGGTGATACATTTCTGTTTTTTCCCATAATATTTCAATATTTCCTGGGTAAGTCCTTAGTTTGTGCCATCCACATCTATCTGTCTCTCATCTATCCATCCCTTCATCTACATATAGATATAGATATCTCTTTCTATAAATATACATATGTAATGAGGATAAATTGTGCTCTAGTTTAAAACATGAACTTATAATTATTTTTAAGGCTAGGGGTGTTCATAAATGTCCAACCTGGGCTACATAGTGAGACTGTATATTTTAGAGAGAGTATTATTTTTATTTTTGTAATATTTTATTATCTTCAGATACTTTGTTACTTAAAAATAATAAAACAATAAAATTATATTTTTTCAGAAATACTAAAATGTTTATTATATGTTCATATTCTTAAATTATTTTTAAATAATAGAATCTTATTGAATTTTTACTTAATAGAATTATTATTTTGTCCTCATCATATAGTATGGATGGTCTTAAATTAAATCTTTGAATTAGATATGTGTCTCTAACTTCCCAGTAGCCACAGCTTCTGAAGGGAAGATTTAGAAGCGTATCCCTAGATTATGTTGGAACCAGAAGTGCCTGGGACCCAGGCACTGCGAGGTAGCAGTTGTGCTGTATTGTTTGATTTGTTTCTTGCTTTTAGAACCAGGTAGCCGTGGTTATAAGCTGTATGCAGAGACCTAGGCTGTAGGTTTTTCATGCCATGCCGCCCTCTCCGTGTGCCCTTGACTGTAGCCATCCTGTCCTCTGTCCTCTCCGTGTGCCCTTGACTGTAGCCATCCTACCCTCTGTCCTGTGTGTCCTTGATTGCTACAAATCCACCTTCCTTTGTCCAGATTTGATTTCTTACCCAACTGGAGTCATATCGTGTGTAACTTTCGGGGACTGACTTTTAACTCATAGCATAATTCCTCGGAGTTCCTTCAAGCGCTTTCATTCTTTCTTGAGCTGCTGCAGTAAACACAATAAAAACAACACATACTTCCTCTCTCCCAGTTCTGGGTACCAAAGGTTGAAATATGGTAAAACATTAATGGTTTTCATTAAGGCCATTCTTAAAGACATCTGATCATTGTAATATTATTTTCCTAATGACTAATGTAGATCATCCTTTCATGTTCCATTTTGTCATCTCTGTAGCTTTTATATTGAAATACCTGCCTAATTTTTTCTTATTCTTTAAATTCCTTGCTTTATTTTTATTATGGTTGAATTATTTTTTATTTTTTTGAGATTATAACTTAATTATATTATTTACCCTCCCCTTTTCTTCCCTCAGAACCCTCCCTTTTGATCTCTTTCAAATTCATGGCCTCTTCATTATTTTTTTCTTACATGAATATATATATTCATATATATATATATTCCTAAACATAACCACTCAGTCTGTATAATATTCATTATGTGTATATGTTTTCAGGCTTGATATTTGGTATTGGTCAACCAACTGGTGTGCTCTTCCCTAGAGAAGACAATTTCGCCTGTTCACAACAACATTGTTTAGTTGCCTGTAGTTCTTTG